CAATTGTGCATTAACATTTCATGATAAAATTATATTAACTTAAATTAGATTTTATATTTTTTACATAATTATTAATATTATTTTTTTTTTTTTTTACACTAGTGCTTAGACATTTAACGTTTAACTTATAATTAATTTAAATTAGATTTTTTTTTTTAACTATTATATAATGAAATTTCAGCATATCTTTACATTATTTATGTATCTCATAAACCAATAACATTAAGATACTTGAAATTTTTAAAGAAATGTTTAAATTATCGTTTTTATTTGTGATATAATTTTCAAAATGCTTTAACTATTTTTGAGCTATTTGTTGACAAGAAATTTTGAATTTATTAGTTTTTTTTTTTTTAATAATAAATATTTTTGACAATAGAATTACTTAAAAATGTAATACAATATCATAAATATATCATATTTAAACGACAAAATATAAAAATACAGAATGTTTTACCATGAACTGATAATTGCAATAACTTTGGTTTTATTAAACGTTTTTAACTTTTTTATGTAAAATTAAAATATTAAAAAAAAACAAGATAACCATTTTGTAAATCCGATTTTAAAAAACTTTTGGTGTCACAAACATTATTGTTATTCTTTTATTTACTGAGCTATTTATAAATTATATAATATTATTATTTAGTCAGTGATTATGTTTTCATTTACTAAATTTTGTCATAAATACGATTTCAACGAGTAATTTTATTCGTTTTCTCAACGAAAACAATTTAAAATGTTGTCAGACTTCGATATTTTGGATGAATTAGATAATATATTAGTTACCGAGGAGTCGGGTGATGAGTTCCTCGATGATTTATGTTTTGAAGATGACAATTCAGGCAATTAAAATTAATAACTTTTTTTATATATATAACTATAAATTATTTATATAAAACCTTCTTTTCTGTTCAATAGATACATTGGCATCACCACCTTTAGTCACATAATAGACCAAAAATAATTCAATCATTTTATGATAATGTCGAAGAAGGTAAATACAGTTGTGCGTTACATATTAGTTTCTAATTACTTATTGGTTTATCACATTCACATATATATAATAAATAGTAATTGTATTTACTATTTATTTATTTTAGATCTACCAGGAACATCTAAAACAACTGAAGTTTTTCTTGAAGTGCCAGTTGCTCAAAATGTTACACCAGTCTTAGAACCAAATATGAGAAAAAACATATAAATAAACCTTTGCATACGCCAAACTCTAAATGGGAGACAACAGGAAAATTTAGCCCTAAGACACAACATTTTAACTCATCTAAGGTAATATATATTGTGCACTATAAAAAAAAAATTTGTTTGCTAAAATAATAATATTTTTATGGTAATTATTATAATGCCTATAATTTTTACCCAGTACAAATAAAATTTGTAACTTTGATAACTATACCAAATACTAGTATTACTGAAATAATGTAATAGGTAGTTTTAATATTTCTAATATTATTTTTGTAAAAACAAGTATACTATATTATATTAGTAAGAACAATACAAAAAATTAACTATTCTAATTTTGTAATTTATGTTGTTTATATAGTGTGGAGTTCAAAAACATGAATTTGGGTTAAGTAATGACTCCCCTATTTTAAATTTTTTTGAAGCATTCATGTCAGAGTTTGTCCTTGGAAAAGTGGCATTTGAAACTAATTGGTATGCAAAGCAATATTTAAAAAAAGAAGACATAGCACCAAAATCTAGAATGAAATATTGAAAGCCAATAAATATTGAAGAACTCTGTCTTTTTAGCTACGAGTATGCTTATGGCTCGTAACAAAAAGCTGGAAATAAATGAATATTGGTCAACAGATCCACTTCTAATGTTACCCATTTTCAATAAAATTTTAAGCAGAGATAAGTACCTACTAATTTTACGTATGTTACACTTTTGTAATAATGAAAACCAAATATCTGGAGATAGACTTTTTAAATTAGACGTTTTAAATAAATCTGTGACAATTTCAAGGCTAGTATGGTACTGTTTCAGAATTTAGTAATTGATGAAAGTTTGGTGTTGTGGAAAGGAAGATTGAGTCTTGAGCAGTTTATAAAGTCTAAAAGGCATCGTTTTAGAGTAAAACTTTTTGTATTGTGTGATGTTGAAACCAATTTTATTTTAGATTTTATAATTTATACTGTTGCTGAAACTCATCTATTGCAATGTGACAAGAACATAGGCATATCTGGGGCAGTTATTATGACTTTAACAGCACCATATCTAAAAAAAGGACACAACTTATACAGAGACAACTGGTACACCTCACCTATTTTATGTCAACATCTATATAAAAAGAAAACAACACTAACTGGAACTTTCAGGAAAAATAGAAGAGGGATGCCTGATTTAAATAAAAAAATAGCAATAGGTGAGGTACAGAGTAGCCACACACAAACAATGATGGCATTGAAGTGGTTGGATAGGAGAGAAGTCTACATGTTATCATCATTATATGATTCTAGTTCAGCCAACACAAACAAAACAGATAGAGCTAGTGGTACAGTTATAAAAAAACCTACATGTGTTTTAAATTATAATGCATGTATGGGAAATAACGATAAATGTGATATGCTCTTAGTTTTGTTGAATGTGTACGAAAATCAATGAAGTGGTATAAAAAAATATTCTTTCATTTAGTTGATTTGTGTCTTCTAAATTCTTTATTGGCATATAAAACTGTAAGTGGTAAGAAAATACCAATAGCAAATTTTCAATTAGAACTCATTAGACAGCTATTAGATAAGTATGGGAAATATAATAGGAGCAAGTACAAAAGTTGAGCCAACTCGACTTACAGCCCCTCATTTTCCAACAGATGTGCACAAAAATGAATTTGGATAAAGTAACAGAAGAAAGTGTATTGTATGCTCTAAAAATAATAAAAGAAAAGACACATTATATATTATATATATATATGTGATGTTGGATTATGTGTAACACCTTGTTTTAGTATTTATCATACAAAAACCAATTATAAAGCTACTCAGTTATTGTATTAAATCTAAGTCATTATAATATTATTTACCCGTGATTTTATACTATAAATATTAATAATTTTTATGATTAAATATTGTTTAATGTATTTTTTTTATGAGAGGTATGTAAATTGTTATTTAAAAATTTAATATATGACTTAAAAAAAATCTGAATATTTGACTGATTTTGTACTTGAATTTATTTAATCAAGTACATTTTATGAACCACTGTCTAAGATTTTTACAATTATCTATAACTTGGTAAGTTCTAACCCAATTTTTTCTTTTATATTTTTTTTAATTTATTGAGTATATATATCTTTATAAGGTGGAAATACTATTTAAATATTTTATGAAATATAGTCAGCACAAAGCAGATGATTTAGATTTTTGAAGTCAGCAGTGAAAGGGTTAAAACAATTATTTTTTTTATAAACGTTTTAGAGAAATTTACTTGTTTAAACAATAAATAACGATATGATAATTTTGTTGTAGCTTAAAAAAAATAGTGGGCTCCTAAACTTTTATGCATTTTTTGCAGAATAAAGAACTAAAACAACCGATTTTAAAAGATAAGCAATAAAAAAAAACGAATAAAAATTAATTATTATCTATTATAATGAAGTAAATAACTTACCATTTATTTTTTCTTAATTGATGTCCTCGAAATGATGGCCATCTCTTCTTGAGCCTATTTCGTATATTTTTCACTAAACGGTGTATCACTTCCAAAGGTGGTACATTTTCAAGTGGACGAATGATTTTTTTTCGTACAGGAACACCTTTTTTTTTCAAAGTTAGTAATCCATATTTTAACAGCCTTGGCAGACGGTACCAAATCATAGTGTTTAAGATTAAAGTGAAAACGAAATGAACGCTGTGCGGCTACGTAATTGTCATTATTTTTGTAAAACAATTTTATTGGACGAACACATTGTTCATCGCTCTACTGTTCCATGAATACTAAATAGTAAAATATGGCAGAGTTGTTTTAGAATTAATAATATTTAGCCATAATTCTTATCTTAATAATAACTGAGAAAATCTATTTTTAAATCGGCCGTTCAAATATTCCACCCTATTATGAATTTTACTGAACACAATATCTTTTGTTTATTTTAAAATAATATTTATTTTTACTTTATTGATAGTTGGTACTACTATGAATCTAAATAATCTAATTTTACTGTTATACAGTATTCACAGAAATATTACGTTTTAGATATAATATGGTATAAATATTAAATATACATTATAATAATCAGTGGCGTTTTTACGGGAGAGGGGGGGTTACCGGGTCTCGACCCCTCCACCAGAAAAAAATAATTAAAAAAATCATAAATTTTGCGACGTGGTATCGAGAAAAATAATATTAATTTATATTATGTGTTTTTAATGTTTGTATTACAATATTTTTAAAAATAACTTGGGTTTAATTATTGACATTTATTTTCATAATAATAGTGAAATATAATATTATAAATAATATTATTATTAAATCATAATTCGTATGTATTTTATTATAATGTTATAAACTTATATTTAACCCGTCGTTGGTACACATGTGAGCGCGCCGTTCACACAGATAGAATTTCGAGCGTTATTCGTACAAATATTATTGAATTAATCTGATACTATACATACCTTCAAATAACATGTCTATACATATTTATAAAAATAAAGAATTACGCTATTTGTCATTGTCTATCAGTTATCGTTAGACAAAGTCGACAGTACCGATTAAGTGAGTGTCGCGCTACCACTGTACTAACCGCACAATATTTTTATCACCACCATCGTAGTCGATTACCTACACAGTTTTGTATATACAGTTTTTTATTTTTATTTTATAAATTATGAAATGTACATAAAAAATATTTATATACTTTTTAGTGAAGGATAAAAATATATATAATTCTAGATATGGTTTGATGTTTTAAGTTAATAGATCAATTAATAATAATATAAAAAGTGAAGTGTGAGCGCTGCGCTCACAGTGTAACAATCATGTTACAAACTATATGTGTACTAACGACGGGTTAATATTAAGACCCCCCGCCACAAAAAAATTGAAAATACGCCACTGATAATAATATAATTATGATTTTATACTCTTACTAGAGCCGGTGAAACTCGCTGTAAGTGAATACTGAATACCCCAAGTCGGAGATAGGACTTGAAAAAAAACCGTAGGAGCCAGGGTATCATTTGAAACAAAGCATAATATTATAAATACCATGATTGGGCAATACATGATAAGTATAATAATTATTATTACATTTGTTAGACACATTTATGTTTTAAGCAAACAACTTACTTAAAGTCATAAGGATCCGATTTTTTACATAATTTATTTTATTTTTTCTACATTTTAAATAATTTTAAATAAATGATAAATATTTTCTAATACGTATAGATTCTGTTTCTATAGTGAATAAAACACCTATTTCTAAAGCAAATGTAATCTTATTGCATATTTGAGTAAAATTTAATACAAGTTCTAGATTCTATTGATAGTTACAATCAGTGGAGTATATTCAATAATTTCTTTGGAAGGAGGAGGGGGGGGGGGGTTAAATTTTTAAAAATCATCTGATAAAGCTTACTTTAAAACAAGAAATAAAGAGATAAAATTATTATATAAAAACATCACTAATTTATAATTGAAAAAAAATGTCACAATTTTAGTTTAATTAGGTATATTTATTAGAGTGTCATCACTCATCAGTATAATAATTTGTCAACTAAAATAATTAATTACAACATCATTTTTTAGTTTACATTTTTCTCCATTTCAAATTTTAAATTGTAAAAGGTCTAATAGCTCTACTATTACTATATTTTTTTTAGATTGTGAACAATAATTTTATAATTTGTTTATCAAAAAGTCCGTACACACACATACTGGTTAGATATTTTCTTATAATTTATAAATAATCCTTTACTTTATTTTATTTTATATTATTAGGAACCACTATAAAATATTGATATCATTTTAAAGTCAAGGATTATGAAAAATCCATTCTAAATTTGATGACACAATTTAATCAATCAAAATTTTCGTTTTGCAATTATGCAAAATATGAGTTATGAATAATGATAAACATGTATTCAAAAACTAAAAACAAATCCTCCATTAACCTCAGACTTAAAACAATAGTAACATTTAAAAATGGCACTAATAATATATTTATTTATTAGCAATAAGTAATAACTAATAAAAATGATTAATTAATATTTAACAATAAAGATAACCTCTGTATTACGGTCATTCCTGTACACGGCAATAACATTGTCACATGTGTTATCCGTGAGCGGAAATAACGTCTGTGAGATCGTTAGCTTGATAATGTTGGACGAAAAAAAATCCAAAAAGTTTGTTGCGAGGTGGAAGTTTGAGGCGTTCGTACGATGGTTTATTTGTTAAATTTAACGTGAATTTATAATTAGAATTATACAGAAGTATGTATGGGTTACAGTTGTAATCATTGCGCGATGGAACGCAAATGAAGACGTATGCGATTGTTCACCATACGGCGAGTTGGGTACGCCACGCTCTCGTGCACCTCTGACGACAATCGACGTTCGTCCGGGCTTATATATGAAGCAGCAAGACGGTAAACATGACAAGCGCGAGTCGAAGTCAAACGTTCTATGTTTAACGCTAAGTGCAGTATCTGCCAGACCGCGCCACTCGTTCAAACTATCCCATTCTGATCACCTTGACCACTTTTCTCATTTCGAAACATGACTTTATACCCATCGATCATCATATTTGATATTAGGTATATGAAAACATGGGACTTCAGGCTCCTGAACCGTTGAGAGTTGCCCACAGTGCAACATAGAAAAAAAGAGAGCTAATAAACGCGTGTACTTACAAGACCTAAAGTCCTAAAACGTACGTTTAATTCCATTCTCTGTCACACTAGTCATGAAATACCCATCTATTAATGGACATGGATGGACCAAGTTCTATGACATATTCATCTCGCTCAATGATGAAACTGCTCTTCTCTCTCAGACCTTAATGAGTTCCGGGTAGTCATTTTCTTGGTATCACCTACATCTGCGAAGGAACAAAATTTCACACTCGCCACGAATTGTTATCAAACGACAGTCAAGAGATCGTTCTGTTAGTCTCATCAATTATGATCATTGAACACCAAACATTATACTCATGTATTTAATTAGACGAATTGTATTAAATGTTATTAGCCAATACACATTTGAAACGATAAATATTACTATAGAAAAAAGAAGATTTAACCAAATCAACATTCTGTATGTCAGTCTGTGACAATTTTAGTTAACAAGAATAACACACACAGTTTACTTGTTTTACATAATTATAATAAAATGTACAAAAATAAGTGTAGAAGACTTTGAAAAACAAGCCACACTTTTATATAATTCAGTATACTCTTTTAAAAGTCTGAAAATTTAGCATACAATTTTATTATTTGGAGAAAAATAAAATAATTATTGTTTTTAAACCAACAATAAAATACTTCAAAATATTAAATATTCTAACCAGACATTAGTGAAGCTAGTGTATAGTATGCTTTTTAACCACACTTCAGTCTTTTCAAGTTTCAACTATTATAACTTTCAAGTATAAAAGATGTAGTTTCATGTATTTTTTTTATTGACACAAATCAATGCAATAACCATTTACATTTTCTAGTTTTTTTTAAAAAATATGGAAACTATTGTGAATTAATTTACAAAAAGTTGCTTTTCTTTAATAGTTTTAAGGATATTTTAGGAAAAAAATAGGATAAGAAAAAACCAGAATAATTTAAAAAAATGATCAATTAAAAAATTAGCTTTATACAAAAAAGTTAATTATTAGTTTGCAAGAAATAAACAATTTAAGTCACTTAATAATCAACATTATCCAAAGTTCATAATATCATGATTTAATATTTTTGATAGTATTTTATTTAATTTTAATTACCTTGTTAAAAGGTATATTAGGTGTTGACTATATAGATGTGAATATCAATGATTTTTTTTTAAAGCTATGATACAACTAATGTCATGTTAATGACAATCATGGACAATTACATTTAATAATATTTAAGAAATACAATGAAAGTATAAACAGAAAAGCTGATAAAAATCAATGTTAATTTTAAAAAGATAATTATATATCATGATCTAAAAATAAAACAAAATAATTTATTCAGAATATTTGTCGTGATAACTGTTCATCAGAGAATACCAAAATAAATCAATGATAATGGAGACTCAAGTAAACAAGTCACAAGTATCTCTTGTATTCAAAGTAATAAATGGTGGGTTGTTGGTTTTATTTTCCTCACATTTAGGTAAAGCCAAATAAACAAAAACAATACTACCTAACATGTACAAAATAAGTTAATTTGATATTATGAAATCATAAAATCAAACATCAAAAGTTGTACATTCTCTATATAACACAAACACAATATATTATACAATATATGGTATTGCTACACACAATTAAATCTAATATATTATGTATATTTATGTAGCTGTATGAATTTCAGACATAAACAAATGTATTATTATCATATGTAATAAATATATATAAATAATTATTTGTAAATGTTAAGATAAAAAAAATAACAAGACCATGGCTCAAAAATTCTACATTTAAATAATAAGAAAATAATTATAAATATGAATATATCAGATTTAGAAAAAAAAAATGAAGATGAATTTTATTAACAGTCATTTTAAAATCACTTGGCTGCCTTTCGTTTATCCTCGGAGTCTTGAGCGCGGATGGTACGCCATGAACTTCCTCCACCCTGTCAATGAAAAAGCATTTAATATTAATTTAACACTAACATAAAATATTAAAATCAATAATATATTAAATTCAGAAATATTAGTTTACTTGATCATTAGACGAAGGTATTTCTCGCTTTCTAGGAGTGTCTCTGTCAAAAGCGGAACGGACTCCATCTCTCGAACCATCTTTGAAATTTTTATCAAAAGCACCACTACTACTACCACCACCACCACGATTCCAACCACTGTCTCTTGAACTAAATACTCCTCCTTTGCGTTCTTCATTGCCTCTATTATTAAACAAGGACCGACGTTCTGATGGTGGACCATCATCTCTATTACGCCCAAATCCTCCTTCTCGTCTATCCTTACTATCTCGTGCAGAGCCAAATAATTTTGATTCATCTTTGTTCTTATCCACATTTCTCCAAGAAGACGATGCGGAATTTGATGATAAGCTCTTATTTTTCTCTTCCAATTTTCGTTGTACTTCTTCTTCTTTTTTACGTTGAATTTCAGCTTGTCTTTCAAGTTGTTCTTGTCGAGCCCTGTTGGAAAAAAAATATGAACATACACAATATTTTATTTTTTCTCAATAATTATTTAAAATTTTTAAGCTTTAATCGTGTGCAATGTGTATGCATTATTTATTGGATACTCTAAAACAATGCATTTCAAGTACAAAATTTGTTTCATATAATAGATATTTCAAAGGTAAAACTTTGATATTGTATCTTTGATGTTTTTCCATTTTATACTAAAATTTATATTCAAAATATTAGGTAAATTAAGAAAAATTGTTTTTATATATTTATCAACTAAAGCTAATTTCATTTATTTTATATACAAATGTAATAAAATCTTTATCTATCTCTAATAATAAGTAGAAATAGTGTCTTATTAGGACTATAAGAAGCAAATAAATGTCAGTTGGAATATTGCATTTTTTAACTTTCAGTTGAAGTTACAAAGAAATAGCATTTATTTCTAGCACACTGTTTATATATTAAGTATATAAGTTTGGTAATTTATTTTTGTATTATCATTAGTTAAGATTAGAAAAAGTGTTAAAAATATCAAAAGTTAAGATGTCAACTTAACACTTTTTAATGTATGATAGTAAGAAAATTTAAATTTTTTTAGTGCATTATTGCATTAAAAAAAACTTTTTAGGATATTTTTAAAGAATTCATTTATATGATAGTAAAAAGGGTATTAAACTTGACCTTTAATCATTAATTTTTAATAAGTTTCTACAAATTTAGATGATTGATACTTACAAATTAGCCAAACGCTCTTCTTCTTCTTTTTTCTTTCTTTCTTCTTCTTCTTTTTTCTTCCTTTCTTCTTCCTTACGCAACCATTCTTCTTCTTCTTTACGTCTCTTTTCCTCTTCACGCTGTTTAATCAATGCTATCCTCCTTTCTTCTTTTCTTATTGCCAACCGTTCTTTACGAATATCAACTAACTCTTCTTCAAATATGGCCAATTTGACCTAAATAAAAAATATACATAAAAACATATGATAATAATTTATTAAATAATAGAAATTCAATAATTCATACTTGGAACTCGGCCGTACGACGTTCCTTCATTTCTCCTAGGAATATGTCCATGTCTGGTTTCATTCTAGCCAACCTTTCACGGTTTTGTTCTGCTAATTTTCGTTCCTGATTGGCTAACTGAATACGTTCAGCTTCTTGAAGTTCCCAGAACTTTTTATCGTGAATTTGTTTTTCTTTCCATGCTTGTTCTAATAAGGGGATTTCTTCTAATCGTTTTGCTCTTTCAAAGTAATCCATTTGTTTTCTGCGATTTTTTAATTTTTGTACCAATTCTGCTCTTTCCTTTGCCAATTCTTCAGCTTCTTTAGCAGCAATTTCATCAGCATCCATGTTTTTTAGGGCCTAATTAAATTTTTTTATTAAGATTAATATAAGTTTTACAATTACTTAGTATTTTGCAACAAATATTGATAAATCAAGATGTATAATATCTACTGATTGAAAAATTATTAAGACCATTTAAATATGAAGTTCCCATTTAAAATTAAAAAGTATAAGTACATTAAATTTAGACCTATAAATTCTTTCAAAAAATAAGTAATACTGGAGATTTATCATAAAATAACCAGTAAAATACTTAATTTGTGAGAAACACCTGCTAATTATCTAATCAAATAGTAAAAACATTATAATTTCACAAACTTATTATCCAGCGAGGATCAGAGAACGAACGTTCTGTCACAACTTTCTTGGGTCTTCACACCAAGCCTAGATTTTCACTAGATGAATAGCAGTGTTATAAATCACCAAAACAGAATATTATAAGAAGAATCTTTTTCCAATGAGTTAGTTTAATTCTTTTACATAAAAAGTAAGTTTTTAAACATTACTAATATTTGCACGCTGGTCATAAGTATGTGCTCAATGACATAAACACAAATGATTTGTCAATTAAATACATCTCAATAAAACCTATGAAAAATAAAGATCAATTATAAAATAAACTAACATCTTCATTTAGTTTTTTCAAAACTTTTTGGCCATGAGCTGTTAGAGATATTTGTTGCATTTTTTCTTTGAAATTCCTATCTTTAATAGCTTGTAGTTCAGATTCTTGGCGTCTTTTTTCCCTTTCTTCACGTTCAGCATCTAATCGTCTTGCTTCGGCTGCGGCGGCAGCTCTAGCAATTTCATCAGCTCGACGAGCCTCTTCTTCTTCCTACATTAAAAAAAATAGATATACTTTATAATATAAGATTAACTATGAATGAAATACATAATTTATTAAAAATAAAAATTAAATTTTAAATTAAGTAAAAATGAATACTTACTCGAACAGTATTCAATCTTTCTAAATATTCTTTACGATCTTCAATTATTTTGTGGCGGGCCAAAATCCTTTGATGTTCTTTGTCTTTGGTTTCATGATGATGTCTAATAAGAGATTGATGAATTTGTTTACATTCATCCTATAAAAAAATTATCAATTAAAGAGATCAATAACATTATAATATAGAAATTCACAATTTAATACAATATTGTTTGACAATTTTAAACATCTATTAATTTCATCAGAATATACATATAATCAATGAAATCATTCCGATATCCGCAAAGATTTATTATTCATCATTTAGACATGAGAAAAAAATTTCTATTAATTCAGAATTACCCTATTAAAATCATGATAATCATGTATCCGCAACAGTAATTAAATTCATCATGATTAAGAAACTTAACTAAATAGTGTCTTCTATTATGGTATTAGTACATAAAAAATGTCATCAGAATATACTTATAATCAATGAAATCATTCC